CAATAAAGTTTCCTTTTCAACCCTGGTCTGCTCCTTCGTGGTCTCACAACCACACAGCCCCTGGCAGGGAGCCATGCCTGGGCACCTTTGGTGGGACACTGCTGGGTTCCTTCCCCAAAGTGCTCTTCATGGAGCTGGGTCAAAAGTGCTGTCACTCAGTGGGAGGAACGAGACCCTCCTGATCAGGGAGTTCCTGTAATTCCTCACAGACTGCAGGCAAATCCCAGATTAACCTGACAGGGTGGGAAGAGGATTAGAAGGGTGGTTACAGAAAGCAACAGAGGACACCAGGGGCTCCAGCGCATGTGTGCTAGGAGAGGACACCCCTCTCACAATCCAAGAGCAGGGGAAGAAGGCTCTGCCCCCAGCACAGAAAGGAAAAGGTCAGCAGGAGCCCTGGAAGATGTCCACATAGTGAAGAAAGAGTCACCTAAGGAAGACGTGGAGCTCTAGAAGGTCCAGAGTGTGCTGGGGTCCGTGTGACCTGTGAGCAGCCATGGAAGAAACCTACCTGCTGAATGTGGAAGGGGTCAAAAAGAAGATTCTGCATGGAGGCCGAGGGGAGCTGCCGAAGTTGCAGGATGGGAGCAAGGTAAATTGTCTGTGTTGTTCCTCCAGAGGCCTGGGAGAGGGAGTGGGTCTGACATCCCTGCCCATTAGAGTTCACAAACCCAGTTCCAGGTCTGGGGAAGAGTGAGAGCCCTCACAACAGGGGTGCAGGAGGGGCTGGTTTGGGCACAGGCAACCACATTCCTCACAGTGACAGCTGGCAGTGCCCATGGCCTCACCTTGTACTGGGCCTGTGACACCTCCTCCCCCGGCACTCCTAGAGCTCAGCAGCCCCGGTGGGCTGCTGAAATCTGCCAGTCCTGCTACATGCCAAGCAGGAGTGAGTTGTGCCAATGGGTTGTTCCTGGGAGGTTCCCCAGCCTCTGATCACTGTGGGTTCCACCAGGTCCTGGAGCACACTGTGAGAGTGCTCTCTGCACGGGGTTATAAGGGGGGATCCACAGGGAGAAGCGAGATGCAGCATGGACGGATGTTGACATTCAACCATCTGCTTGCTGTCTCAAGTGGGCAAGAGGCAAATCTCCTGCTGTGGAGGGAGAGCTGCCAGTCAGATCAGCACAGTGCTGGGAGCAGGCCTGACCCCACGGCTGAGGTCATGCTGGCTGCCCACGGAGTCTCACCGCTGGGCTCTCTCTGGGGCCAGTTCACCTTCCACTTCCAGACACTGAAGGATGACTTTGAGCGGACGGTGATCGATGACAGCCGGGAAGCTGGCATGCCCATGGAGATCATCGTGGGCAAGATGTTCAAGCTGGAGATCTGGGAGACACTGCTCAGCTCCATGAGGATTGGGGAGGTGGCAGAGTTCTGGTGCGACGCCATTGTGAGTGAAGGGCCCAGAGATGCCCACTTCCCTCCTTCCTGCAGAGCCAGGACACAGCAGTATGCATCCATGCCTTGTCTGGTGCAAACACAGGGTGTCACTTGGCCTCAGCACCGAGGGGCTGCCCCAGACAAGGGGGTGCAGCCCCCCCAGGGCTGAGCGGGGTGCTCCCCTCCTTGCAGCACACAGGCATGTATGCCCTGGTCTCCAGGGGCATGCGGAGGATTGCGGAGGGACGGGACCCCCTGGAAGGCCAGAAGCACCGCTGTGGTATGGGCAACATGTTTGACTACCACAGCACGGGCTACGACGACCTGGACGAGCTGCAGAGGACGCCACAGCCTCTCATCTTCATCATGGAGCTGTTCCGGGTACAGGCGATGCTGGGATGGTGGGGGTGGCTGCCAGAGTGGGAGCAGCTGGGAGAGCCGCTCAGCTCCTCCTGCTTGGGCAGGTGGAGGACCCCTCAGCCTACAAACGTGACACCTGGGCCATGAGCAAGGAGGAGAAGCTGGCAGCAGTGCCCGTGCTGCACAGCGAGGGCAACCGCCTGGTCCTGCGCAGGGAGTTCGCACAGGCGGCTGCCAAGTACCAGGAGGCTGTCATCTGCCTCAGGAACCTCCAGGCCAAGGTGAGCAGGACCAGCACCTCCCCATCCCTGCCTGGGTCACACCTCAAAGGGCACAGCTGTGTGCCTTGGGTGCCTGGGAGGGGATGGACACAGCCACGAGCTGCCCTGGCTTGCTTGGGGGGCAGGAGAAGCCATGGGAGGATGACTGGCTGAAGCTGGAGAGCCTGGTCACACCGCTGGTGCTCAACTACTGCCAGTGCCAGCTGGAGCTCGGCGAGTACTACGAGGTGCTGGAGCACACCACGGAGCTGCTCCAGAAGCACAATGGTACCTGTGCCCTGCATCCCACCCCCTGCGCCCATGGCTCCCAGGGACTCCATGCTCTGAGTCCCCCACCCGTGACACTGTCCCTGTGCCTGTGACAGTACCTGTGTCACTCTGTATCCCAGTTTGCCCCACCGCCCCATCCTGCCCCTTCCCATGACGACCCCTGCACTCCCTGTGCCCCGCTGCCCACAGTGTGGGCACAGTGCCCACGTCTCCCTGCATCCCTCCTGGTGCACCCACCCCACACCCACACGTGCCCCACGTCCCTGGTCCCCGGGGGTCTCCAGCTCCCATGGCCTGAGCTGCAGGACCCCCTGAGGGCTCTTCTCTCTGGCAGACAACGCCAAGGCCTATTTCAAGCGGGCCAAGGCCCACGCTGCTGTCTGGAACGAGAGGGAGGCCCGGGAGGATTTCCAGCGCGTGGCCCACCTCGACCCCTCCATGGCGGCTGCGGTGAAGAAGGAGCTGAAGCAGCTGGGGGAGAGGATGAGGAAGAAGCACGTGGAGGATCGGAAGCGCTACCAGGGCCTCTTCCAGTCGTGCCAGGGCCTGAAGGCCCGTGAGGGGCAGGAGAGCAGGGAGGTGGGTGATGGGACACCTCAGGGTGAGGCTGGGCTCCGGGAGAGCCCTGGGCACGGGGAGCAGGTAGAGGAACAGCCCAGGGCTCCCCAGGCAGAACAAAGGACCCCCAGGGCTGGGGGTGAAGGGGCAGCACCAGCAGGAGAAGAAGGCCGGGGAGAGCCTGTGGGAGAAGAGGTGGAAGGGAGGGATCGGGCAGCAGTGGGGAAAGAAGAAAACCTGGGCACCTGTGGGGCAAAGCCAGAGAGCCTGGGAACAGAGGAGGAAGATGAGAAAAAGGAGGAGAGGGAAGAGGAAGAAGAGGAGGGGAAAGAGGAGAAGAAAGAGGAAGAAAAAGAGGAGAGCAAGGAGGTAAAGCTAGAGAGGGGAGCAGAGAAAGAAGATGGAAAATTGGAAGAGAAGGAGGTAGACAAGGAAGAAAAGGAAGACAAAGTAGAGGGGGAAGAGAAGGTGGAAAGGAGAGCAGAGAAAGAAGATGAGGAATTAAGAGAGGGAGAAGAAATAGAGAAGGAAAAAGAAAACAAAGGAAAAGAGAGGGAGGAAGAGGCAGTAGTGGAAGTGGAGAAGGACAAAGAGTGTCTACTAGCAAAAATGGAACAGCCTGAAGAAGGACAATGTGGGACAATAGGAGAGACAAAGGCAGCAGGGCTACTGCAGGGGTTGGAGCAAGGAGGCAGCAGAGCAGAGGGAGCTGGCACAGGGAGTGAGACCCAGGCTCAGGCAAAGAGAGCCCCACATTTGGGGCCTCCCAGCGAGGGGCTGGATCCAGCTGAGGGGCCCCCAGAGCTGGAGGATAAAACATCTGGGGAGGCTCTGGAAGAGGTGAGCTGCAGGGAGCAGGGAGCAGCCAGGGGACAAGAAAATGTTGGGGAAGGCAACATCTCCCTAGAGAGCTTCACCCCTGGGGAAGGTGAGGAGCTGGGTGAAGGGGCAAAAATACCCCCATGCCCCATAGCAGCCGGAGAAAGGGGTGCTGCACCCCTGGAGCAGTGCAGCAAAGAGCAGGACTGTGACCAGCCCTGAGCAGGGTCAGTTCCCCTGCTTGTGGGAACAGCTGCCAGGCCACTGACAGAGGCACAGCACAGGCAGCAGGGCTGCTGTACCCAGAGAGAGAGCCCGGGGGCTGGGGACTGGCCCAGCAGTGACATGGGAACAATGCTGTCCTCACCCTGCCACCACCCTGCCCCGACTGCCCGGCTCCAGCGCCTTTCAGCTGGGTGCCACCGAGCTCTGCTGGCTGAGAAATAAAAGCTCTTCCCTGGCACCATGGGCTGGATTTGTTCCTGAGCGTGACCAGCTTCCCTGAGCACAGCCCACACCTCCTGCCTTGCCCTGGAGCCCGTGGCCCAGGGATGGGGCAGCTTGTGCTGCTCTCCAGAGGGGTGGTCAAGGAGGCTGCATGTCATCCCCCTTAAGCTCCTGAATTTCTCCTGTGTGAGTGTCCCCACACTTCCCTGCAGTGGCACCGTGTCAGGCCTTTTCCCAGCACTGCCAGCCCTGCCAGGCATGGGTGAAAGCAGGTCCAGCCCAAAAATTGTCTGTCCTGGGCAGGTTTCACCATCAGCCAAGTCTGGGCAGGGGAGAGAGCCCAAGAGCCCATGGCCTTTACCCTGAACTATTCTTGTCTGAATCCCTTATTGTGCCACAAAGGCACAGCAAACATTAGCAGCACTTGGGACTGAGGCACCCAGACACCTCTGGGCACTGAAAACTTCATGGAGCTCCAGAAAGAAAGGAGGGAGAGGACTGCCTTGCCTGCCCAGCATCCCACTGCTGTCTGCCTCCTGCCTGGGGCTGAAGGATTTCCTACAGCCAGAGTTCCTGGGGGAAAGAGGGACTGTCCCTGCACAGCCCCTGTCCCACCCCTCAGCAGCCACATGGCCTGAACAGAGAAGGGCTGGGGAACTTCCATCTCCTCTTGTTGGAAGAGGATGAAGATGGCTGGGGGACACACCTGTGTCTGGGGATCCTGGGCTCTGCTCACAGCTCTGCTCTGCCTCGAGTGGTGTGGACAGGCAGGGTGACAGTGCAGGCTGTGTCCCAGCAGCCCTGCAGGAGCAGCACCAGCGTGGCTCAGCAACAGGAGCTGACTCAGCCCAGATGCACGGATAGAAGAGGCCAGAGCACTGATTCAGGAATCAGTATAAATACAAATTTATTCTCTTTCCAGAGCAGAGATGCCACAAAGCAGTGAGGACAGCAGCACCACAGTACATAGTTACCAGAGCATTAGCCAGCCTGCTCCCCTCCCTGACACATCCTGGCTCCCAAACACCAAGCATCCAACCTGGCCACCTCTGCTCCCCACACCTGGCACTGGGGCCAACAGCTCTGGTCCCAGAGAATTCTGCCCTTTTTCTTCCTCCAGTGCCCCCCAAGGCTGTATGCTCCTGAGCACACTCTCAGGCCAAGCCTCACTCTGCTGCTCCCCACGCTGCTCCCATCCTGCCCCTGGGATAACAGAGGGGTCCAGCTCTGTTTCACAGGCTGGCCCGGTGTCCCTCTCACCCACAGCCTGACACAGCATGCCAAAGCCACCCGAATTCCACCACACTGCCCTCCTGCCACTCACCTGGCCGGCACAGGGGACAGCAAGGACAGCCACCCACGCTGCTGCCAGCAGCCACCGGAGCGCTACCTGCTGAATGCCCCGGCTGTAAGGGCTCACACCACCTTGTCCCTGGGGTGGACACTGCTCCTCACCTCTGCCAACAGCCCAGAGCCAAGCCCACAGCCCTGGGCTGCCCTGGTCACAACCTCCCCGGACAGCTCAGCACCGTGTCCTGTCCCTGCCAGCAGCAGCAGCCCCGGCTCTGTCCTTGCCAGCCCCGTTAAATGGGATGTTTCACCCCGGTGTGCAGCCCTGCCCTGCCCCGAGGGGGCTCAAGCCTCTCACCTCTCCACAACCCGTGGCTCCAGAGCAGCAGGGCCATGCCAGCCCCCGCTCTGGGTTACCCTGCAGCACCTGACTCTGCCTTTCTCGACATACCACAGCACAAGACAGCCAGCCCAGGGACCCTGGGCACCCGAGCCACCACCCCCGGGCTGCCCAGCCTCCCTGCACTGCCACGGGACCGCTGCCAAGGAGGGCTCCAGCCCAGCCTGACCCAAAGCTGGTCAGCAGCAGCAGGGCAGCTGCTCCCTGGGGCAGCACCAGGTGCCCTTCCTGCCCTGCTGCCCGCCACTCTGCCATGCACTGGCATCAGCCCAAGCGGCCTCGGGGCTGGGGTACGGCTGGAGAAACCCTCCCTGCAGCAGCTGAGGCTCCCCAGGCAAGGAGCTGGGTCTGTGCAGGACTCTGCCACGGCAAAGGCACAGATCCCCAGGAAACCAGGCAGGATGAAGTACCTGCTGTGGGTCCAGCCCTCACTGAGCTCCCTCACAGCAGCCCTGCAGCAACAGCAGCAACAGGGAAGGTGCTGGTTCCCCCGGGAGCAGGAGTTGGGCTGCTCTGAAAGTGAAGGGCAGCTACACTTAAGGTATTAGAGTTTAATAGAGTGAGTCCATGAGAGTATTTAAGTACAGTATATATATATATAATATATAGAAATATATGCAAATTAAACAATAAGGCTCTGTTATAAAGACCCTCTGAATATAAGGCTACTAGCTGGGCTGAAGCTCTAACATGGACTCAATCCCTACTCCATAAACCTCACAGACTCTCTCCTGGTGGTATGTGCCTGGCTGGCTGCAGAGCCTTGGGTGGCAGAGTTCAAACCATAAGGCTGTCAGCTGGTTACTGTTATAAAGAGTTATTTTAAAAATTGTGTGCCTCCAGGTGTGTTTTGGTGCCCATAGACCTGGAAGCTCCTGGGCACGAATGAGGAGTGGGATGCTGAGCTCTGCATCCCCCGAGGGCTACAGGCAAAGGCAGCAGCCCGTGGGTGCCAGGGGAGACAGGCAGTTTTCATGGCTTCAGTTCTTTCTTCTGAACCATCCCACCCAGGCTTGGACACTGCAGCCCACTGATGAAACCAGCCTCCTGGGGAGCCCACAGTCCCACTCCTGCATGACCTATGTTCCCCTGAGATCTTCTGCAGCTGGCAAGCATCCTGCACCACCAGCTCGGAGGGAGACTGTGTGAGGTCTGCTGCAGCACAGGGAGCATGGCAGGGAGAGAGGGGAAGGAAAGCAGCCAGGTAGCTGGTTAGGAAAAGCCTCTGGCTCACAGGAGGTGTTAGATAAGGGAGGTCATACCTGAAAGAGAAATAGACAGGTCAGGAAAACAGGTCCCAGTGCCACCTGGTTAGAAGGGGGCTGCTGCAGAGCCAGGAGGATCCTGCTCAGAGATGGCAGAAAGTGGGCACAAGTCTGCATGGGCAGACCATCACCTCATGTTAGTGCTGGCACCAAGCAATGCCTCCTTTTGGCAGCCTGAGCAAGACACCAAGTGCTGCTCCTACACTGGAGCACAGAGGGAAAGAGCAGAATGACCAACACCAAAACCCACTGAGTGAATGGAGTGCCATCCACATCCCCCAGGTCTCCATCCCTGATGGAAAGAGCTGTCCATGAGCAGCCAGGAGAGCTTGCACCATTGCTTCCATCTCACAGGCTACTGGGGCCTCGACCTCTTCTGCAGAGGGGTCTGGACAGGGATGAAGCCAGGAGGGGCTCAAAGCTCGCTGCAGGTGGTGCTGGCAGGTCTGTCCATCCTCACAGTGGGAGCCCCAAGGGGTGCAGGTCCTGAGCAGGGCAGGAGGCTGCCTTGCAGCTCATCACAGGGACGTTTGGTCTGTGCTCTTGGCAGCTCTTGGCTGAAGCACTGCAGGTCATCAGCTGCTGCAGGGAAGCTGGGATCGGGCAGGGCTCAGGGGAAAACCTCACCTGAGGGAGCAGGAAGGAGCGAGCAAGGAGGATTTCCCTCAAGTACCTCGGGAGGTGGGGAAGGCGCTCCGCAGCTTCTCCATTATGTCTTCCAGGCACATGCTGACTTCCTGGGTTTTGGCTTCCACCTCATCTGCAGTGCAAGGAGGGCAGGTGCGTAGGAAAAGGCTCTCTGGGCATCCACCAGAGAGCCAGGCTGGCTGCCAGCATCTCTGCTGGATGCAGGGTGCAGGCAGCTTCCTGCAGCATGGGAACGAGGGAGAAGGGCCAGGAGCTCAGCCCAAGCCCAAATCTCACCTGCAGTTTCCGTGTCAGGGGTGTTGTGCTCTTTCTCCTTTGCCTGGCTGCCTTCTGACTGATGTGGAGATGAAGCCAAGGAGGAGGCTGCTGAACCATTGCCTTCTGACTCTGCTGGAGGCTGGAGTGAGAAGAGTTGTTGTGGGAAGGTTGTCGTGACCCTCTGCCCTTGGCTTCCCCTTCTCTGCCCATCCCCTTTGTGCCATTGTCACAGCTCTGCTGTGGCAAAGCCCACCCCATGCTTGCTCTGAGCTACCTGCAGCAGCAGCTCCCTCAGCCTGTGCAGCTGTGACTCCAGCTGCTTGTTGTGGTCCTCCAGGATCTGCATCCGTGTCTCCAGGCGGCTCTTGTGCTGCCGCAGGATTCGTGCTTCTGCCAGGAGCTCCTCGTTACGTGGGTCTTGCACGGATTCAGGTGAGCCTGTGGCCAAGCTTGGGGACTCCACTGCCTCATCATGCTGCCATTTCAAACGTCTCAGCTCTCCCTGGAGGATCCTGCAGGACAGCCCAGGTCAGCATCCCCTCAATCCTTCCTGGAGACTGCTGGAAATACCCGGGAGCTGCACACTGGGGGTGGCCCACAGCTCGGACAAAGCTTTGTCATTTGTGAAGCTTAAGAGCCAGGATGCTGCACTGCAGAATGGCCTGTCTGTGGCTCTCCCCCACACAGGGGGTTCACAGATATGCAACCACTTCCCAAGAGACTGAAAACAGGGGCAGGGAAAGCATCACCTCCTCCTGAGCTGGTGTGCCCTGCCTAGAGCCTCACCCTGGTCCAGAGCAGCAAAACCACTGTTCATGAGGGTCTCAGGGACAAGGACAGGGTGCCCTGGGCTCACTTCAGCCCCTTTGGGGTTCAGGAGGGAACAAGTTCTGCGGATGTAGGAAGGAATATTTTGGGGAACAGTCCTCTCTCTTCCTTGGAAAGCACACCCTCACTGTGTTGTAGTGCTCAGCTTAGACACCCTCCAAAAATGCCCTCTCAGCATCTGCAATCCCCACCTCCAGACCCAGCAGCATCCCCTGGTTCCACTCTGAGCTCTACAAGACTCTCCAGTCCCTTCCCCCTCTCAGGCTATAGCCCCCACTTTCAGAGCTGCCCATGTCTCTACCTGTTTTCATCCTCTAAGTGGGCCAGGACTCTCTCCAGCTCTCCCTTGTCATCCATGTTGAGGCCTCCTGGAAGCTGCTGGCTGCCCCCAGGCTCTCTGTCCGTGATGGGGCTGGAGTGGCGCAGCAGGTACTGGTCCTCATCCCTGTCCCAGCAGGTGGGGAAACACCTTCATTAGCAAAGTCATGGGATTTGTGTGCCTTTGGGGAAGGACAGCACGGAGGGAGGCAGTTTCATGGGGGAGCTCCTGGCTGCTCCAGGCCTAGAGCTCAGAAGGGGCTCAGCATCCCTGATGTTTGTTGTGCTCAAGAGACTCTCACTCAATGGGACTGGGAAGGAAAGCATTTCTGTACCCTGGCTAGGCATGGATAGAGCCACAGGAGCCCTGACTCATCAGGAGGTGAGAAGAAAGGAAAGGAGAACTCACAGGCTGTCATCAGGGGACAGGCTATCACTGAAGAAGGAACAGTTCTGGCTTTCCATCTCTGCAAGCCTGGAGGGAAGAGAAGAAGGTTGAGATATGGTCAGAGACACCCTAAATGTCTGCTCAGCTACTTTCAGCAGGCCCTGTAATTGCCCTCTCTGCAGGGTGTCCCACCTAGCCTGCACCTATCTGTCCTTCCACACAGGCTCTGGAGAGTTTTGCCTTTTCAAAAACCAAAACACACTGCTGCTCTGGGTGTAAGTCTCTAGAATAAAGGGCTGGTGCTGTGCAGTCGGCTCAGTCTCTCTCTCACAAGCAAAGGAAAGGGATGCAAGAATACCAGCTCCAGCTTAGGACATGAGCTAAAAGTACAGGCTTCCTGTACCCCTTGGGTCCTCACAGCAAGGGCAGAGGCACTATAAACCACAAGGCAGCAGCAGTGGGAAGCTCTGGTGAGGACACAGGGCAGAACAAGACACTGAGGGATGTGCCTGCTGAGAATCCACCCAGCAGCTCATACTGGGAAGAGCAGGACAGCACGGGAGGGCTCCTGCATCGCCGAGACATCTGCTGTCAAATGCATGGTCTTTGCTGCCAATTTACACAGCACAGCCACGTCCCAGGCAGGTTTGCCTGGCTGTGCAGCGTGCTGGGGCAGGCGGAGGGGTCTGGGACCATCTATCTGCCCCAAAGCCCCCCCAGTCCCACCAGGGTTGTGCCCCACGCCCTGGCAGGGCAGCAGAGCCCAGGGCTGGTACCTGCTGGCAAAGTGCTCGATCCGGGAGTGTGTGTCGGCATGCGGCAACATCGGGGAGGAGGCTGGGCTGCAAGAAATGCACACTGCTCAGCAGGCTGGGCAGACTGATCCCACCTGGCTGAGAAGAGGCAGGGATGGGCTGACAGAGAGACGGAAATCTCCATTCCTTCAAGAACAATGTGGCATATCACCCCCAGAGCAAGTGCTCCTCCAGCCCTCCCCCAGGAGCCCTGTATGAGCTGAGGTGCTCTTTCCATCCACAGAAGCCATGTCTCATTCTGGGCCAAAAGACATAACCCAGGCACAGCCAACTCACGTCTCGGAGAAGTCAGCCTCGAGCACAGACTGGACGGGCAGGTAACCTCTCTGTGGGTGCTTGCTGAAGTACTGCTTGGACCGAAACTTGTTCTTCAGTGTCGTGGCAAAGTCTCTCATGTTCTCACTGGATGTGGTCTGCAGAGACACAAATATAACACAGGTGCCTGTTTAATGAAAAGTGGGGGACCACAAGCTCAGCACCCACAATAAGATATCCCCTCGTGCTGGGCATTAGCTCCATGGGGGAAGAGGCAGATCAAACTGAGGATGCAAGGAGGGCACACAGCAGATCTGTGAGTCTGTCCTGGGGCCTGGCACAGGCCAAGTTGGGCACTGGGGGCCATGCATCCTGCTCACCATGTGTCCCAGGTTGAAAAGCAAGATACATTCATTTGCCATCTGTATAGTGGGCAGTTTTCCTTATCTCTTCCACAACCAATCCTCTCTCAGGGGAGACATCTGCTGATAATGGGCCACTGAATGTCACTGCATGACTGATAAGAACTAGAACATCCCACTGTGAGATGCTCCGCCCAGAGGGAGGAGCCAAGCATTCCTACCTGGATATAATCTCAAGTTTCTAAAACACCAGCACAGCTTTTTCTGCACTGGATTTCCCAGAGGAACAGCTGCCTCTTCCACTGCAGGAAGCCTACACCTTTCCTACAGGATCACTGCTCCAACAGAACCACACCTGACACTCCAGGAGCACTGCAGCCACAATTCCCAACTGGACTGCGGCCAACATCCTGACCAACAGGGTGTCAGGTTGTATTCTGACTGTCAGTGTTGTTTTGGTTTGTTGCATTGTTTATTTTATCTTTTTATTTTCTTCCCTAATAAAGAACTGTTATTCCTGCTCCCATATTTTTGCCTGAGAGTCCTCCTTAATTTCAAATTTATAACAATTCAGAGGGAAGGGGTCTACATTTTTCCATTTCAGGGGAGGCTCCTGCCTTCCTTAGCAGACAACTGCCTTTCCAAACCTAGACATCATGAGCCCCAGAACAGCAGGGACACAGGCAGCCTCCAGCATGCAGAGGGTACAAAACCATGCAAGGGATCCACTTGTGGGGCTGCACCAGCCTATATGTCATAAGGCTGCTGCCATCAGTGGGTCCTGCTCTGGGCCAGGGCCCTCCCAGGCCAGCCCAGCTCCGTACCGGGGTGTAGTACTCCATGATGGGGTAGTGCAGCTTGTTGCCCTTGCTGGCTCGCCCAGTGAGGAAGCAGGTCTGGCAGATATCCACATTGAACTGCTTCAGGCTCCGATACCTGGAGAGGTTAAGAGGCCATAGGGAAGCACTGGAAATCATCAAAACACATGTTTAAAGCCCAAGGAAAGGTCAGTGGGAGGGGACAGAGGTGGCCTGAGTTGCTCTAACACCCCAGTGAACCCACAGTGCTGATGGCTGAAGTCCCCAGGAAAACACTCTGCTCCTTCCCCTTAGCTGGCGCCTGCTCTGGCCTGCCAGGAACGCTGCTGGCTGCAGAGCTCCAGGCTCTCCCAGGAGCACAGAGTAACTCAGCTCTGTCCTGCAGGACAGCACACACTGCCCTGGGGCCAGGGTCCCATACCACAGCCCTTACCTGAACCCCTTGATGGGGCACTGCCGGCAGACGGAGCACTTGGTCTGGTGCTTCACCTGCTCGGCCATGGCCACCCGGTGCAGCACCGCCAGCCACACCATGGACTGCGGCTCCAGGTTGGCCCACTCCAGGAACTGGGATGCCTCAATGGCAGACTTCCCATTACTCTGGGGAGGGAGAGGAAGGGACTGCTCAGAGCTGGGCCGTGGCCACGGTGGGTGCAGGTCCCCAGCACAGCTGCTGCAGACAGGCGAGGCCGTGGCCCTGCACTCACAAAGCGGAAGCAGCTGCGGATGCTGGGCTCCACGTTGCTGCCCCCGAACGCCGCCACCTCGCCCAGCTGGCGCGGGACCTGGATGGCCTCGTGGAGCAGGACGCCCAGGTGCCGCTGGTCACACAGGCCCCCGGCGTTTGCCACTTGGCTGAAGAGATCTGCGGGCACACAGACACACAGCTGACAGTCCAGCAGCAGGCAGGCACGGGAGCAGGGCGTGGGTCACACCAGGGACCCCCCGACTGCATCCAGCACGGAGCTCAGGCACGAGGAAAAACCTGAGCTATGATTAAATAACTTCTACCAGTGTCCTTCCAGTTCCTAATAACTAGTTGAGTGTCTTCATAAGATAGGGGTTACACACATCATTTATTAAACAGCCCCAGCTAGCCTGTCCTCTACGAATCAGCCTAATCCCTTCATTTAACACCTTGGTGCTCCCGGTGCTACACAACATTCCCCTCCACAATATCCCATGGTTAAAATGCAGTGAGGAAAGCAATTTGCCTGAAACCTACTTTCCCCCGCCATGACCCTGTGGTGTTTTCCTTCTGGAAAGCATTGGATAACATTCCTGTGTGCCTTCTCTGCACTGCTCCTTACAGTGCCATGTGAGCAAGATCACTGCAGCACCAGTCAGTCTACAAAAACACCTCCTAATTTCGGTGGCGTAGGCCCAGGGAGGGAGGGAGAGGTGATGATGCAAGCAGCTTAGTCACTGCAGGAAAGCTGTTTCTTTGCTCTTCCTGGGCAAAGAAGGGCCAGGAAACAAAACCACTCCTGCTTTCCAGGGGTGAATTCCCACCAGATTCTAGGGGAGGCAGACAAGGGACTCACACTGGAACTTCTCCTTGACCTCTGTCCCGCACAGACACGCAATGCCCGTCTTGAAAGAGAGAGCCCTCATCTTCCCACTGCGGCCGCTGCAGGACAAGATATGCACAGGTTTGCAAATGTTCCAGAGTGGGTTTTTTAGGGCAGGGGGGGTCATCAAGGCAAGCACACCCCAGGCAGCCTCCCTCAGAACCTTTGTGCAGCACTGCCAGCTGGAAGAGCAGCACAGAGGTTTCCTCTCAGGCCTGGCAGCCCCACAGCTCGGGGACACTGAGGCTCAGGTACCTGTCAAAGACGTTCAGCAGCCAGTTGAGGCTCATGTCCACGCAGAGGGGCACGTTGACCAGGATGCCCCGCTCCTCCTCCAGCCGCTCGTAGAGGGCGGTCAGGCAGTGGATCACCTCCACCACGTCCATCGCCCGGTCGCTGGGCTGCAGGTCGTGCTCATTGAAGATTTCCAAAGCCGTGGCCAGGGTGACCATGTCCACTGCACAGAAAGCACGGGCAGAGCAAACAGGGAACGAGGGGAAATGAGAGAGGTGAGAGTCAAAAGGAGAGAGATGCCGTACTGCCCCAACCTGGGGCAGTGTTAGTCCCCACTGTGTTGACAAAGATGCTAGAAAGGATGGGTGCAGCTCCTAGAATTTCTCTCCTGCCTGTAAACTTCTCCCAAAATACCACATCTCCACCTTGAGCCACCGTTCTCTGTCACCTTCCTTCCTCATTTCTGTGTCCAGCCATGGCCATGAAAATGCTACCCATGGAAGGCTCTGTGCAGAGGCCAGTGTTGGCCTTTCTGCACATGCCAGGTCCCTGTGGGGCTGGTACAGGGAGATGAGGACAGACCCTACAAGCACCTGCCCAGAGATGGATCAGTCCTGTCTCCAGCTCTGGCAGGTGAGGGAGTTAAGGCACAAACCCAAAGCAGGGCTAGGACAGTGTGAGCTGCCCTGCTTTCAGATTTCTATGGCTGCAGGTTGTACATGCTACTGTGTTAGCAACCAGCAATATTTTTTTCCTGAAAGTCTTTCCATCTTTGAGACCTTTTATGTTCACAGTACCCAGGAGATTGTGTGCATTTTCCAGACTGTAACTTCACTCTGTGGAAAAATCCTCCCTTCTCCTGTCAAAGCTGCTACACTTGCACTGGGAAGCCCCAGTTTCCATGCCAGGGAGTATCAGTCCTGCCCACCCTCGTGTCCACACTGCCCACGGCTGCATATGGCTCTGATCTATCCCTCACTGCGTCTTTCCTACACAGCCCCTCCACCAAACTTCCCATGATAGGAAAGCTGCCTTGGCAATCTCCTTGCCCTTTTCTCAAGTATATCTTGTATAAAGAGCACTTATCCAAGTCATTTCTGGAGTGGAAAGAAGGTGACAATGCAGCATGTGAGATGCAAGAGATGCACAACCAAAGATGCACAAGCAGCACACAGGAGAGCTCTCCTTTGCTCTTCACCCATGCTTCCTCTCCACACCCTGCCTGCTGTTGCATGGCACCTTAACAGGGTGGCAAAAGCTTTATTCCATTTGCATTACATCATCCCTGAATGTCCCTGGGTGCAGGACAGCCTGATCACCACAGTGTTATGAAAATACTCCACAGCCAGGGTTCGACTCCCTTGAGAACCCAAACTCCTCTTATCCGGACTCATTGCCTTCTTCCAGCCCTTTCACAGGGTGTCAAGGAGCACAGGTCTGACGGGCCCCACTGCTGCCTGGCTGTACCTCCTCCCCTTCATGAACAATTAATTCAGGAGGAGGATTTCCCTCAGCCTGCTGCTGCTTAATTTTGACAGAGCCTTAGGTGAGAGGCTTTGTCAAAAGCTCTGAGCAGCCAAGGATGCTGCATCTATCAGACTCCCACCTGCCTGCTTGCCAGTTCCACCAGAAACTCCTCAGCAGTTTCCAGGAAGTAACTACCTCTTGGAGAGATGTTTGAACTCCTGTTGGATCATATTCACCTGGCTATTAATCCTCCAGTTTTCACCCAGAGTGCAGAAGTCAGGTTTATTGGCTCCCTTCCTCCTCTGTAAGCAGTTAAGCCCTCTCTGTGCCTGCCAGCGAGGCTGGTTTCATCTCTCAGTCACATCCACACATTCTCTATGCTCCTTTGGAGCTGCTTGGTGAGCTCCTGCCTGATCCCATAGCTTTGTAACCCTGAGCTGGACCACTTTGTTCTCATATCCCTTTGGACAACACCTGCACTTGAGTCATTTCCACCCCAAGCTGTAAAGAAAGGCGCTGACACAGACTGGTGCATTCGTTCAGCTTCCCAGGCTGATCTTCCTGGTTTCTTGCCTCAGCTACCTATCCCCCGGTGCCTCCTGCCTTTGATGTGCTGATAAAAGCTGGTGTTAGTTTAAAGCCTCGCTGAGGGAGAGCCAGCAGGAGGGAAACCCTTCCCACACTCACATCGAAGGGCTTTCTGCACCCGCCGGAGTTTCATGGCCGTCCGATACGCAGAGAACTTGATGTTGTTCAAATCCGCTGCAGTGGCACAGGAAAACAGGAATAAAAGCACAGCACAACACCCTTATCTGCAGGGCAGGAAGCAGCAGTTGCAGCTCTCAGACCCCAGCAGAGCACACGCAGGACAGTGAGGAGTAGAGCCTGGCAGGGGTCACACCCACTGCTTTGGGGGACCCTGTGCCACAGAGGGGAGCAGGTGGCCTGGGGGAACCTCACATGCACCCCATGCTGCCAAAAAGGCACAAGGTACTCAAATGGTTCTGTGACAGCCTCCTTACCCAGCGTCTGGTACAACTCTGTCATCTTCGGGTGGTCCCAGCACGTCGTCTGGGCCTGGTGGCTGGAAGCAAAACAGATGGAGACCAAGAGTCAATTGGGTAACCAAAAGCTGCCATGAGAGATTAAAATAGGGACCTGGCCAGTGCTGGGAGCAAGTGTTTCAGTGTCTGCAGACACTGCTGCATCCCCCTGAGCACACTCCCCAGCCACAGCAGCATGAAGGATGCCCACAGCAGGATATTCCCACTTGCTGCCAGCCCCCCTCTTCCAGCTGGGGTTTCCCCTCATCTTGGGCATCCCAGCAGGCAGGGAAAGGCTGGATTTGCCAGGCTGAGGAATATCTGCTTCACTGGAGGCGAGTTCTCACTCTCACATGGCCATGCTAACAACCCTTCAATCCTCTCCTAATTGGTGCCCAATTCCTGATCCCTCCAGGCCAGAGAAGACCTTGGGCTGTGTCTGGGAGCACACTCACTTGATGTAGTATGGCACTTTGTTGGGGGAAATGGCTCGCTCCCAGGGGACCTGGACAGAGGCTGCAAGGAGAGAAACATGTGTCAGATCAACACCAAACGCTCCTCTAAGATGCTGCTGTTTCTGATGCCAGCCCTGGCACAGCAGGACTGTGCCAACAGGTGGGTGCCTCTGAAAAGCTGCATCGTCCCAAATCACCCGCTGGAGGTGTTGGTGCAGGCAAGGTGCCTATACAAAAGACTGGGCTGCTGGTCTTGTTAGAGACATCTTGCCTCTCAAGCCAGGGTCTTTGTACCTGGCTGAGCTCAGAACTTAGGAAGAAACATTTCCTGATGCTTTTGATGATGCCCAAGGCAACATTGTGGTGACCAGTGAGCAGGGCTCATAGTCAGTGGAATTTGGGCACACAGACACAGCACTGACTGTTATGGCCAGGCTCAGACACCCAAAGCATCTGTGGTTCCTGTTGTTCCTGCTCTGTGTGCCAGCTGCAGCATCGTGGGAAGATGAGGATTCATCCCAGACCAGCTGCCTGCCACTCTATGTTATATAGAGGATGGAAGCCACAGCATGACCCTCAGTTATTTTCCTTTTTCACTGGTAGTGTATCAATTCCAGCAACTGGAAAAGTCATTCCTCCTTTCAGACAGGAGTATGCAGTCTGCAGAGAAGCCAATGAATCCCACTGACATCCAGAGACTGCAGGGCTCAGCATTTCCCAGGCTCTGGAGCCCAACCTGCTGCCCAGCCCTTGCAGCCTGAGAGCTGTCAGCCAACAGCTCTGATCTGTAAAAACAGCATCCCTCTGCCTCGCCACATGAATGAGAACCTCCTGAAAAGGCACATTTTTAGCCTCCAAATAATTAACACGGGATATGAGGGACTGCCTTTTCCTGCCATCTGTTGTCTTTCTCTGAGGCTGACACAGTCCCAGTGTCTCCTGGGAGCTGCTGCTGTGAGTGTCACAGCTCTGTGCTCTGAAGGGAAACCACGCTCACATCCCACCCTTGGTCCCACAAGGTGAGGCAGCACAATTCCAACTTTGGAGATGCCTCCTGCTTCATCTCCCATGCACCAGGCATCAGCAGTTGCACTTTTCCAGCCTCATGCATGGCCCTGGGCTCAGCAACAGGACTTTGCACCCTGTTTGGCTGTGCCACAGCCCAGGCTGCTCTGCAGAGGCAGCCTTGTGGCAGAAGCCGGGGGGGCCCACTCACGTACAGGAGAGGAAGTGCTGGGAGCCTGGTCCGAAGTCCCTGTGGGCATCTTGGAGCTGCTTCAGGCGTTCGTTTATGGAGGCCTGGAGAATTGAAAAATAATTCACTGCCAGTCCAACAGGCATTTTGGATTGATGACCCACTCAGGAAGACTTGTGAGTGGACTCAGACATGCCCCAGCACACAGATGCCCTTCCTTTGTCTCCTATCTTGGTGTTTGTGTCCTCCTCCAGCCTGCTAAATCCTCTACACCTCCTCCTCCTGGGGCAGCCACATCTCCAACTCACCTGTACAGACATCAGAGCAGTCACAGCTGGTACTGACCATCTCCACCAAGACATTCTGATTCTCCCTTTGTTCCTCACACTGCCTTTTCCTGACCAAGGTCTCTGCAGATTTACCAGACTCTTTCCTCACACTGAACTGATGCTCTTCTCTTCCAGGAACACCAGCTGTAACATCCTGCTGTACCAAACCTTACTTTATCATCCTTGAAGGTCAGCAGTGACAGCCCTTCCCAGCATCCTCCTGCCCATGGTTTATGTTCAGTGCTTGCTCCTGACTCCTTCCCACCTGCAGCTGTTTCCAGCGGGTGTTGATCTGCTCCAGGGTACGGGAATTCTCCATGCACAGGTGGACATCTGAGATGGCAAGCTGGTGTGCAAGATCATTGACCACTTTCACCCCATCCTTCACGGGAGAGAGCTCCTCTTTGAACAGCTGGAGTCCAGTGGGGATGGGGACACAGGCACAGAGCAGGGGAAGAAGGAAAAGAAGCAGGTGAGTAGCCAGGACTTGGATCTGATTCCTTTGCTACAAGTTAGGGTGGGCTAGTGATTGCCAGCTAACTGCCTAACCCTCCCGCAGGGTACCTTAGCAGGGAAAAATTACCCAACCAAACTAACTAGGCTGCAGATTACTCCTGATAAATGAAATGGGCAGCTGCAGATTACTTCTGATAAATGGAAAGGGGACAATGACTCAACTATGCTAGCCACTGTCCCTGTAGTGCCATGGTGTACAAGGTCTGTGCCACGGCAAGGTGCTCAGCATGGCCAGTTGCTCAGGACACTGCTGGCCAAAACCCCCCCCAAAAAAGCAGAGGGGCTGTGGGAAGGAGGCCTTGGCCCTGAGATCCCAGGTAATTAGGCTGCCTTGGACTGAGCAGCCCATGGGAGCAGCTCTGTCCTCCTGGAAGCAGAATTTCATCACCTGCATGGCCAAGGCTGGAGCCTCCTCAGAGCCAGAAGTACCTTGGTGGACTGGATGTGCTCCGGCAAGGAGTCAATGAAGAGGTCCCCGATGGGTTCCCAGGTCTCCCGCACACTTTCAGCCTGGTCCAGGGTCATGCTGAGCTCTTCCATAGCCCCTTTAATCTCCAGCAGCTGCTCCAGGGTCCGTTCAATGTGGCGGTGCTGGTCCACGCAGCGGGCCGTGAGCTTCTCCCACAGCTCGCTGGCCACGTTGGCCTGCTTCCACACAAAGCGGCTGATGTTCTGGATCCGGTGCCGCGGAGACACATCTGGGAAGGCAGAGCAGGAGGGGAACAGGGAGCAAAAATGACAGCCCAGCCCAGAGGAGAGTGAGGCAAGGGGCGGAGGGAGGACAGGGAAATTAGAGATTAAAGGAATCTAGGGAAAACTGGAAAAGGGGAAGGAAAACAAGTAATAATAGTATCCATCTCTGCACCAGCTCCTCTAGGTATCCAGCCTCTCTATCCTCACAGGCTGAAGCTGTGCTTCCTTTAAAAAACCTACTCCAGAGCACATCTGGTGCTGTCTCATGAGGTGCTCCCATTACAGACTGCACCAGGAGCCTCTGCCTTTTCCTGGGACAATGACACTGCTCTGTGCCAGTCTGGCCTTTAGCCAAAGGACTGGGCACAGCCTGGGCACCGTGGTGTGAGGCAGAGCACTGATATGCTGCTTTGTGCCACAGTAGTGACCACGCCACCCTCTCCAGGCCAGCCCAGGAGGAGCTGTGAAACCAGAGAACAAAAAGGGGGCAGCTCCACAGACCTTTGCTTTCCAAAGTTGGTTCTTCTAATTCCTCAAATGGGTGCTGGGAAAGAAAAGCCTGTGCTGACTCCAGGACAGAGTAAATGTATGGCCCCCGAGACTTCACTTCTTCCATGAAAGCCTGGAGAGTAGAGCACAGAGATGAGACAGCAGGCTGAGCCACAAAGCTGCGCCCTGGCTGCCCCCTTGCCAAATGCTGCAATCATTTATTCACCCCATAACCCAAACCTCACTGGCGGCACAGAGAGAAGTAGAGAAATATTTTTGCAGCTCAGGGAAGGAATGACCACCTGCCAGAAGGTGGCTCCTGCAGAGGTTTGGCCTGCAGCTTTGCTGGAGTGGGGAGGCAGAACACCAAGCCCAGAATGGTGTGCTGAGCCAGGGCTGCACAAGAGGAGCTGTTTGATTTATGGTGTTTCCAGAGGCACTGCTTGGAGATGCTCTTCACCCGTGCAGTGAGAGCATGGCCACGCTAACAATCCTTCCAGCAGCTGCTCAGCAACAGGTCCAGCTGCTGCAGGAGCAAGGACAGGAACAGCAGGATGCCCCAAGGCAGCACAATCTGCCAGGGAAGACTTCAGAGGCACGCTGGTCTAGTATGTCCTCTCCTCCCCTCCAACCACAGCTCCCACACCAGTGCTGTGTGCTGGATGGGCTCTTTGTGCAAGGATGAGGGATAGCAGCGGTAAACATCTTAATTTTGTTTGCAGGGTAAAAACAACCAAAGCCCAACCGCCACTGGCAGTGAGAAGAAAACGCTGTGAACCTGGGAGCAGGAAATTCTGATCTGCCTGGGTGTACCCCAGATTCAGATGTGATGACAACATGTTCCTTCAGGCATCGCTCACGTTCCAGCCACAGGATTGCCCCTAGACCAATCAGCCTTCTCAGGCTCCAGGATCCCAAAAGCAGAGGCCAGTGAGAGGTAGGACATGGGGAAGCTGCTACAAAGGACAGGGTACATAACCAGCTGCAGGCGACTCGAGGCTGTAATGTGGCTTTATTGTCTAAAGCCAGATGGGCTCTGCCATTTCTCAGGAAGCAGAGATGGAGACACTCAAGGACCGGCTGTGCCATGGGCAGTGACACGAGGCAGGGGCCCGAGCAGGGCCAGGGGAGGCAGGAGGAACGCACCGTGTGTGTCTCCTTCTCCTGCTGCACCAGGAGAACATCGCCCCGCAGGGGCAGCTGTGCCGACAGCTCCTCATCCTTCTGCCCCAGCCAGTCAATGATCTCCTGGAGAGGCACCTGCAGCTTCCCACTGTGGTCAGAGAAGGCCTCCAGCCGAGCCCTGGCAGGAGAGCAAGGACAGTGAGATGACAGACAGACAGGAGAGGGGCAGGGGAAGCACAGCACTACGGCTGGGTGCTGACCCCCAGGACCTCCTCAGGGACTGGCAGCACACCTTAGCATGGGCTATGCATGACCCCAGCCAGCAGAGAGGCCACACTGCCTGGTGGTGTGACACATGGAGGCACTGGGGACAAGAAACTGAAGCTATTCCTCACCCTGGAGCCCAGAGTAGAGGACAGTCATTCCATGTTTGCCTGTGGGTCAGAACTGCTCTGGCTAGCAAGGGGGGCTTGGAATGGCATTTACATGTCTGGGCAGCTTCCAGGAGCATTGGATTAAGGCAGGAGACAATTAACACGCCCCAGTTAAGCTCTCTGTCATGCTGGCTGTGGAGTTGCAAACTCTGACAGTCTGGAAGGCATGTTCCCCTCATGCAGTGGAGAGGGCTCCCAGCAAAGGCATGGGCACAGAGGAGGTGTGGGCAAAGCCATGGGGCAAAAAGAGACAGCTGCAGAGGTGGCAAGCAGAAAGCAAGCAGGAGGGAAGGAGGGGAGGATGGGATGGGTAGAAATGGAGGAGATGCTTTCCAGCAAAAGGAGATTCAAAAGCCCGTAGACCAGAGGGGGAGCTGAGCCAAGGTCACTGTGAATTCATGTGGCTCATCAAGCAAAAAAGTTCAAAAACCTCCTGACAATCACAAGCAGCAGGCAAGGCTGGAAGGCCAGGCCAGCCTGGAGCTTGCTCCAGGCAGGACTCTTACCGAAGGCTGTGGGATTTTTTTTTAATCTCGTTCCAGCAAAGATTCATCTCCAGAGGGGCCTGGGGCCTGGCAGCACCGCTTGGAGCCCGGGGGGTTACACACGAAGGTCCTGCACCATCCTGTGAGGCTTCAACCTGGGCAGAGAGAAACCACACTACATCCAGAGATTGCTGCCTGGTGTTTTGGGAACTTGCTTGGGGACACCCACCCCACTCTGCCCTAACCCTGACTGGTTTTTCAAGTCTCAAGGGGGCTGCCCTGTTCCTTCAGTGGTCTCTTAGCAGCTCCCAGGAAACTCCTGGCTGTCTCTGCAAGAAGGATGCAGTGCCATCTCCAGCAGCACTCAGAGCACAGGTTGAAGGGAGGGTTTAACTGCACATCTCCTGTTCTCCTCAGTTATCCAGCAATGAGCTTATCTTGCTGAGAGCTGTAAAGCCAGAGCTGGTCCTTGCATGTCACAGCGTCTGCAGGGCTAATGATGATTTTTTCCCATGTTATACAGAGCTGCTGTGCTTCGACAGGAGGCTGATCCTGCTGTTCCTAGGGACCAAGGGGATCTGCCAACATCCTTTTTGCCATCCCCAATACTGGGACTTGCCACCTGCTCCTCTACAGAGGCTCCAGGATATTCCCTGCCTGCATGGCATATCTGAGAAGCCACTTCTCCTCCACAGATGCTGCTTCTCCTCCACAGCTCTCCAGAACGAGCAGCCGTGGGAAGGGTGCTGCAAAAGGCCATGGAGAAAAGACAGCAAATCCCAACCCAGCCACACAAGGGAAGCACATCCAGCTGGAAAAAAATGGGTTCTGATCCCTGGACAACAAATCCTTGTTGGAATCCTCTCCTGAGCCTTTAGCACTGCATCATGCCCCTGATCACAATGTACTCTGCTGCATGTGCTGGTGACAGCAACACACAGGATCAGAAGCCACTCACACAAGACTTGGTGAGTGAGAGGGAATTTTCTCTCCAAAAAGCACAGTTTGTTGAGCAAAACACATGGCCACTTTCCCATAAGTGAGACATCAATGAGCTGTGTTGGAGAAATGGCAGCATTTCTATCGAATGCTGCTTCGATATTAGAGCTCGCTTGAGATAATTATCCCCAGGTGCTTAATCAACCATAATTAAATGTGTTAGTACTTTCTAAACAGCATACAACAGGCCAGATAAGGGCAGCTGCCTTGGGGGAAAAGCAGCAGCTCTTGCAAGGGGAATGTGTACATACTTGTCACTTGTGCTGTCCAGGGGCTCGTGGAGGTGTCTGGAGAAGCGATGCAGCCAAGCCGAGGGAAACAACAGGCAGGAGAAAACAACCAGACAAGGAATTTGGCTGCTCAGCTAAAAATACCCCCTTCCACACCAGTTCTCAGAGAAAAATCAAATTATCGCCAAGACTTGTGCTAAGTTTGATTCATCTAAAAACATCCAACAGGCTGTGCTCTGCCTCCCCATCCTGCCACTCCAGAAACACCAAGAAAACAGAGAAAACCATCACCCACAGAGTTCACAGGATTCTTTGGGCCACAGACAACGATCCACTGAAGCTAAAACTGCTGCTTGCACATAGAAGCACCGATACTCTGCGCGTGCAAGTCTTCACGGCACAGAAGCAGGTCAGTCCCAGGGCACTGCCAGGGAATGCTCCAGCCCTCCCCTCTATCCCAGGGGATACCAAAGGAAGGGATCAGCTCTACCTGGGTGCACCTGCAGCACAGCTCTGCACCCAACCCAGTCCTCCCAGCCTTATTCCATAAGTTAAAAGCCCATCACACCTGCACCTCTCAAACCTTGTAGATATAAGGTAGCAGCGAGCAAGCAGAGAGCAGGTGCTGAACACCTGCTTCCCTAGGACAGAAAGGGAGAAACAAGTGCTTTCGCTCTGAGCACCCCACCAGCATCCTGGCAGAGGCAGCCTGGACCCTCACCCCCTCTCCACCCTGGCAAAGGCTTTCCGGCCGCAGAGCACTCACGGCTGAGGCAGGGGCATCTCTGTGGCAGGGGCATCTCTGTGGCAGGGGCATCTCTGTGGCAGGGGCATCTCGCAGCGCTCAGCCCGGCCCCGGCCGGAGGAGCCACATCGCTCCCGCCCGGCGGGGAGCGGGGAGCGCCCGCAGAGCTGCACTGACCCCCCAGGAATGTGCAGGGGGGCGGCAGCGCCTCACAGCCTCAATCCCAGCTTTGTCCAGCGGCATTCCAGCGGCCTCCAACCTGCCCTAACCCCGCGGCTGCCCTCAGGGGCAGGGCGGGCAGAGATGTACCACTGCAGGGCAGCCCCACGAGGGGACAGCCCCACGAGGAACGGGACAGCCCCACGAGGGGACAGGACAGCCCCACGAGGGGACAGGACAGCCCCACGAGGGGACAGGACAGCCCCACGAGGGGACAGCCACTGTGTGCAGGGGCACTGCCCTGGGAGCTGCGAGGGCAGGGCAAAGGGCATGTGCTGGGATGACCAGCACAGACCTCGGTTCTGATGCTGCAGCACGTACAGAGCAGACAGGGGTGTGTGCCAGGGAAGGGATTCATCCAGGAAATTATCCCATCAAGCCTCAGTGACCCAGAAGGTAAATAGGTTCTTGAGATCTGATCCCAGAAAAGTCAAAGATGCCCTTGTTGTCCCCCACGTGCCCCACCATGGTGTTGGGTACCAGCAGATGTTCATGCCAGCCTGGACCAAGTGCAAATAGTTTATTTTTGCCAAAAAGCTCTGGGCTGGCTTCTTGTGTCCCCCACAGTCCTGATGCCCAGAATTTTTATCATGCTCTCTTCCACCTACAGAGAGGGAAAGAAAAGCTCCCAGTATCTCTCCCTCTCTTGCCCTCCTTCCCTGCTTGCACATCTGATGGGTGCAGACCCTCGCTCTGGGACCAGCACAGCCAGCTCCTCTCCTCAGCACCTCTCGGGTCCAGCAGATGGGAGGGCAGCTCCCAAACTGGAGGAGGGGGCTTCAGTGAGGCCAGGCCACAGCTAAGGATGGGCTGTCTGCAGCCTGCCAAGAGCTTTCAGGAGTAGCAAGGACAAGAGAGAGAGGCTGCTGCCCAGGCAGCAACAGCAGCCCCTTCAAATGGGGAGCTGTCATTAACACTGCTGCTGCTCCCACTCCTCTCCTCTCTCCCAGCAAATCCCACAGGGCTCTGATCCCCTCTCAGAGGCTTGGACTGCTCAGGCACGTCAGGAAGGCTTTTTCCTGCTCATCTTGTTCTATCCCTCTCCCTCCTCACTTAATTTGCTAGGCTGTTTATCAGCCTCCTGTGCACTGGCCCACAGCAGCTGATACTTGGCCCACCCTGGGGCCAAGAAACCTGACTCAGCCACCAGGAGCCTGCCCCTGCCTCATTCTTGCATGCTGGAGCCTCTCCAGAGACAGCTCTGCCTTCCTCCTGCAGATCCCAGCTCCCTGAGGCAATCGGGTCCAGGCTGATGGTCAGCCACAGCAGGGAGGTTTGTCCCTACAACCCAGACAGTGGGACAAACCTCAGGCTCAGCCCTTGCTTCTCATGCTTGAAACGTGACAAAAAAGGAAAAGGCAGAGCTGGGACCTCGTTTGTCCCGGGAAGAACACTGCCAGTGCCCAAGGGAGCCTTTGGCACTGTCCATCAGTGTCCGGACAGGTGAGAAGTACCCCAGGACCAACAGCTACAGGCAAAGAGGCACCCACAGCCTGGCAGAGCCCAGGCAGCATTTCCCCACCCCAGAGGTGCTAAAACACCTCCTGACAGCTCAGTGCAGAGTGCAGGCAGCTTTGCAGACAGTTGCCAGCACACTTTTCAGTTCTTCAATCTGCTCTGCCATTTCCCCAGGGGACCCTAGAGACCTTCCATCCCCCCTGGTGAGGAGCCTGGCCTGGGGCTCAGAGACCCTGGGGGAAGGAGGAGGGAGACCAAGATCTATCTCTTAAGATAATTAGATTAGTAAGAAGTCAGATTCCTCCTCTGCCTTACAGCATCCACCAGGGGCTTATTTCCAAGCTCTTCTCTGCAACCAGGAAGAGTAGAAAACCTGCATTTTCACCAAAAGTTGACATTCTTCCAAGTTTCCAGGAAAAATAAGCCAAACCAAATACAGAAGAGCTGTTAACAGTAGCCTCTAGTTCTTTATTGTGAAAGAGCTTCCAAGTCCAGCTCTGCAGGTCCTCTCTCTTCTCCTACTTTGGGGAGCACTTTGCAGCAGGAGTGCTAGAGGAGAGCACACGCTCTCCTAAAGTGCAGCTGCCGGGGGGCTGGAGCTGACAGCCTTCCCCCACCAGGACCAGAGGGCTGGTTTGCCCCACAGAAACCCCTGCACAAAGCTGCTGCCAGCCAGGCTCCCAGAGGCAGCTCTTACCTGAGGCAGCGGGCAGGCAGGGCTGCTGGGCTGCGCCTGCTCCGGGGTGTGCCACTCAGGACACGGCGGGAGCACATGGAGCCATTCCTGCATCACCAGGGGCTGCATCAGAGCTGATGGTCATGGGGATGGAGCACCTGGAAAGCAGCATCAGAGTCCCCGGGTTAGCTTGCACCTCCTCACAAGGCTGACCCCTTCAGCTGCCAGAGCACTGCCTCCATGAGAGCTGGAGACTAAAAGGAAGCAGTCTTTCATTTCATGGACTTCTACCAGTGTATTGTAAATGCAGGTGAACTTAATGGGAAGAAATGATGATGTCTGACTTAATTTAGAAGGTTGAATTATTTCTTTATTATAACTATGTTAAAATATATTAATATATTAATATATTATATAAAAGGAAGATACTACAATTACATATTATTTTTTCTGACCCTATCTCTAATCTTAACACAACTCGTGACCCTCTCCAGAGCCCAGCCACAGGTGGGTTGGATTTGCCATCAGGCTCAAACAATCCTCACCAGAATCCAACCAAGCCATCACTCCAGGTAAACAATTCTCCAAACACATTCCACATAGGAAAAACAAGGAGCAGAAATAGAAATTGTTTTCTCTTTCGTTTCTCTCTGTGTACCTCTATGAAAAATCCTGAGAGGGAGAGAAATGTGCTGTCACACTAGTGTTACAATCTTGTTTCATCTAAACACACAACTCTTTTTTTCCACCTAGTTACACAATTTGCTGTATTGATACACTGTTAATAAGTCCCACAGACTGTACTGCACTTTCAGAAAGGGCTGGGTTTCTCAAACTGTACAAGATGCCCATGGTTTAAAGAAAGGGAGAGGATCTCACTAGCATGGCCATTGTTCTAGTTTTGGTTAACATAACATTCACTTTCTTCCTAGCAGGTGGTACCCTAGTATGGTTTTTAATCCAGAACAACTTATGTTTAGACAGAACAGACATATCTCCATAACAGACAACATTTTAAAACATATTTTTTCCTTTTATATTCAGAAGGCAAATTGCCTAGAGCCCCAGCTTCATGTATCTCATACTGTGATCTAGCTTTTTATGAGTTTTTGCTCATTATGAGCTATAAAATTCCCTTCCTTATCCCCATTTTTTAACTTCATGAGCTGTAAAGCCAGTTAGCAGTGGCCCCTTGACTATTCTATAGATCTGAAATGTGACCTCTGGTCACAATGTTGCTGGGTTTTGTTGTTTGGACTCTAAATGAGCTAAAAGAGGGATTCATTTCATTGCCAGCACTATCTCAGCTTTACAGAAGCCCTGAGAAATAAAGCTCAGAGAAAACTTGGTGGTTGCTTTCCTACTCTTAGAAGGTAAAAATCACCTGCTCCAGCAGACAGAGCTCATGCCTGCGTGGACGTGAGGCTGCTTTCAGGGGACTGGGTGATGCTGATGGAAGAAGGTTGCTGGCTCCTTCACACCCAGCTCAGCTGGGGGAACCTTCCTGCCTGGCCCTGGCAGGAGCAGGAGCAGGAGCAGGCAGCACATCCTCACTGGCAGCAGCCACGCTGCACAGACGGGTGAGGAGAAATCCCCCCGGCCCTGTGCACACTGCCCATCTCTGACACTTTCACAGCCCCCACTCCCCTGCCTGAGCCTTCACTGCCTCTCTCCCCTCAATTACACACATTAAGGGATTATCCTAGGATTTTTTTTTTAATCTCTCAGTGATTTTTACAGCCATAATTCCCTCTCTTTCCAGGAGAACTGCCTGTGCTGAGCTCTCCAGCAGGCTGACAATCCAAGGTCTCATCCTCTCCCTCTCCTACCCATTAGCACCAATGGACACTGCAGGCTGGGCATCCCTGCTCCTTTCCCCATGCAGGCAGGGGATTATGTGGGGATTATGAGACCCACATTAATAATTGTAAATTCCAGCCTCTTGGTGCAAATTCACCACACCCAACCCCAAGGGTACAGAAGATTTCTGACAGAAGGTAACACCACCTCCTTTTCCTCCAGTGCTTGTGCATTTGGGCTCTGTTCCTCTGAATGACACTCAATGTAGCCGAGATACAATTCTCAGGGTGTGGAAAGCTACTTTTTCTCAAAGCCTTTAACAGATGAATGCCACCGAGCTCTTCCCCAGCACTGGAAAATCCATGTTTTGCCACTGAGGTTCTGAGATACATCACTGTAATTGCCATCCTGAGGCCTGGGGTTTTCTGTGGCACGGGGCAGTGACACTGCAGTGATATGAGCTGGCCAGACGAGTTCAGCCAGCCCTCCTACAGCACACACACAGGGGCTCTCTGCTCCCAGCCCTCCCAGCACAGCCTGGCCCCTGACAGCTCTGCCACCAGCACTGAGAGCAGGAGCGGAACTGGGAAGGTCACAAGCTCTGCTCTGACTGCATTTTGCTGAGTGACAGAGGTGTGGGCACAGGGCAGGTGCAGTTCTGAGCCAGGGGTGGGTAACCTTGTCCTGCAGGTATCCACGTGTAGGACCGGGAGGGTGTCCACGCTCCCTGCCAGCGTCATGGAAATAAGGACAGCCATGGCTGCACCTCCAGAGCGCTGGGCTCCTTGACCTCCTCCAGGGATGACAAAGCCCATCAGGACACAGATGGAACAGAGAACTAAACCTGTCCAAGGCAGCAGTCACAGAACAAGCCAAGTGCCAAGCAAAGGGCACTACCCAGTCACGTCCTGTGCAGCACCTTGCTGCCACAAACACCAGAGCAGGTTGGAGGGCAGTGGCTCAGCTGCCCTTTGCCACTCTGCAACAGCAAAGACAAAGCTCAGAGGTAGAGAACTCAGATAATGTGGAACTGACTGAGCTGCACAGCAGCCAGCACAAAGGAGCACATTCAGGAGGAGAGAGACAACCAGACAGAGAGGCATGTCTGCAGGCAAGCCAGCAGCTCCATATGACCCCTTGCCAAATTCCCTGCTATTACTGGAACCAAGCAAGGAGAAATGCTCTTGGATCTGCTCTGCCTCTCTGCTGAGGCACACAAAACAGCTCCAGTTCTGGCACTCCTACTTCAGTGCTTCCATACAGCTCTGGGGCTGGGCACTGCTGCATGTGGAGGAGATTTTGTGGATGCTTCCTGGCTAAATTCCTATTGCCTGATGCCTACGCCTTTCAAGAGCCAAACCTGTGATCCACTTTTCCTCTCCCACACCACCATTCATCTTCTGCACTCTGCTTTAGGTTGGTGCTGGAGACCCAGCACATTATAGCCAAGGTTCAACATCATACAAACTAGATTTAAGTGCAGACAACAAAAAGTATCATCCCCACAGCTTACTCCAAGCCTCTCACTGAAAAGAAGTTGTGAGATTCTCCTTTGGAGAACTCGGGGAACAACATGGTCAGGTTGTTCAAACAGATACAAAGTGAGCTGGGCACATTTCTGTGCAAGCAGAACAAACACTAAGGCTCAGGTGAGCAGAAGCAGGTGATAATTTCCACATGTGGACACTGCAAGAAGCAGTTGGTAGAGTCACCATGGAGCGGGGACTGGGGCACTGCAGTCACACAGTGAAGACAGCAAGGAGGGAAACCTCTTCCACTGGTGTCTGTCACCTGTCTTTGCTGGAGGTCCCACTCCAGGCACAAAGGTGGTCAGATCAGTCCTCAGAAGCACCAGGCAGAACCTCATTACCTGGTGCTCTTTTGCATCCTCCCCCATGAAAAGCACTCAACACTTGCCTCTGCTCTCAGTACACCTAAGAAATGAAGCAGTGCATGTTCCACAGTGGTGTGTTAGACCTTCTAAACACATCAGTACCCAAGCCACCACCACAGCTGAGACCTTGATGATCCTCTAGTAGAGAAATAAAAAAGCTAAAAATCTGTATGTTACTTTTCAACAGCTGAATGCTTGGGAATTAAAGTGCATTAAAACAAAATAATTGCCTTTTTTCCCTTCCTACATGAGCTGTACCTGTTACAAATTCAGCACTGGAGAGCCTGTCCTACACCCTTCTTCCCAGGCAGTCTGACAAAGGCAGCTGGAATAGCCTTTGCCAACCAGTTCTGCTTCATGTTTGTCACACAACTCACTGCACCACTGGAGGATCCCTGTGCTCTCTCTGCTTTCCAGACCTGCTGCAGCAGCATCCCTGGCTGGCTGGAGAGGCTGTCCCAGCTCCTGCAGCACCTCTTCCCCATCCCAGCCAAAAAGAAGGTGACAGCTTACCACCAGTGCACATGGAGCACTGTATTCTCCAATTTTGCTGCCTTTGTTCAAAATCCTCCTGATAGAAACCCATATACAAACTCTCCCAAACATCAAGGGAATTCACACTGCAGCTGACCCTCCATGGCTAAAAGCACCCCCCAAGATTAGAGACCTGTCACAGGCAGTAGAGTGTAATGTCAAATATTGAATTTCCAGCTCTCTACCATGTATAACAGCAGCAAACACAGCATATAGGTCAAAAGGTCTCTCAATCACACAGTTTATGCTTTGAATTCCTAATCTCCTCTGAAACATTCTTCCCTGAAACTTCCCACTTTAGATCTTGGCCTATAAGGAAAAAAAATATGGGAACATCTTGAGGCAAGGCAGCTCAGCTCAGCCTTTATCCTATGAGGAGGGTGGAAATACAAACATGCTCCCTGCTGCTGGAAATGTTACTGACTTTGTTGTTGTTTAGCTTACAGTACAGAGAAGTAATAACATTTTAGCTCAGCATATCCAGTGTCCTTTAAGGGGAAAGGTGGGAGGCTTGTGGATATTTCAGAGTTCAGCTCCCATGTAGATGCTAACAAAGGAAGCATTCCCAGGCTGGCAGACAGCAGGACTCCTTCAACAGCTTAACAACACATCCTGTTTCAGCAAAAAATTATTTTCTGCACTTGTAAGTAAATAATTTAAGCCTGAGATCTCAGGCCAGACAGCCTACTTCCCAAGACCCCGCTGGTCAAGGTTTGGTGAGAGAGAAGCAACCTTTGTCCCAGTGGGACCAACATAAAAACAACACAATTCCCTCTCAGAGCGCAGGCCCTTCATCTCCATCTCTTTCCAAACCCAGAATAGATACTCAACCACACTCCCACAAAAAATCATCCCAACATTCTCCTGACTGATATGTGCTCCCGTGTGCCCTGAAAGGGGACTATCAGCAATCTTCCACATGTGGGAGCATTTCCAACCCCATCATCTGAGGCCAAAGCTGTCACTGGGCTTCACACTGCACTTCCACCAAAGAACCAGGTCCCCTTTATTAATGAAAATGAAGGGTGCTTCAATTAAGCACCTGTCCATGAGAAGTAACAAAACCTTGGCTATATCTGGCAGCGAGCAAGCAGCACAGAAGATGTGTTATTCACTGAGGGTGGGTGAAGTGGGGACTCTCACATCTAATGAGCTCCTTTCTTAAATGGCCACTTGGACTTTGAGCTCATAACCAAAATGTTATTTTAATTCAATGGATAAACAGGTGCCACAAGGCTTAATAAGGAAGGAGCATCCTTTCCCCTGGCTCACTCACTCTCCGTTTTCCTAAGCAACAGAATATACACTCTCACACAATCTCAAACTGAAACATTTCACCAGTTGGCTTTTTACTAGGAAACTGTGGCGATGATGATGTCCCCACCTCACCAGGTGAGTGTGGGTGTTTGCCCACAAAATGGTCATGCAAAACTGACTACCCCCCTCTCTGCTCAAAAATAACTTAGGGGATTTTTTTAAGGAAGATTGAAAAACCTAAATTTCTTTTGCATGTCATTTCAGACTCCCAGCTGGGTTTTAAGTTGCTTCCTCTAAAGCTGACTTTTCCTAGGAACTCTCCTAGCAGCTTAAAGTACTGAAATAATGACTCAAGCAGGCAGAGGACCCAGCTGTGAGCCCACAGCCCTGCTGTGCTGGACACAGAGAAACTGCTGCCTGCTGGACCTGCCAGACAGAAGGGGCAGGAGGAGAGCAAGCAGCAACCTCCCAAAAGGGACAGCAGAACAGGGAGGAAATCACTTAATGACTGAAAGAAGGTTGCACCAAGCATAAAAATTGAAGACATTCTTTCAGAAACGTGGCTCCTGTAGCCCTGAAACCTGCCAATTTAAGCCAGCAAAAACCTCAAGCCTTGCATTTACCTTTCTCCTCTAGACACCCAAAACTTCCCTTCCCTGCTGCTGGAAGCAGCAAACAAGTTTTGCTGCATTGTGAAAAGCACATCACCCATTTTCCACGCTGTGTAACTGATCAACAACAGTGGGAAGAGCACACCCACACTCAGTTCTGATGGCCAAGGTAACACTGCTGACTCCTGACTGCCTTGGCACTTTGCTTCTCATTCTCACTGTAAAGCTGGCACCCTCTTCTCCAAACTGAATACTCTGCCTTGCCCCCGAGGTCATCTTTATAATCAACTCCCTGCCAAAGCACAAGGTTCTCTGGCCTTCTGAGGCCATGAATTTTATGATCAGACTCTGTGCCCCATGGAGTCATACTTCCTACCCTTACTTGAGATGTATCAGAGTGGCCTTATTCTTATGCAAAGGGAAACAGCAAAGGTGCTATATTTTGGCTCAATTCTGAAAAGACTGGTTTCATCTTCATACACCTTTGAAAATGACAGTTTTTTGAAGACTGAATTCTTTCTGGTCAAGATGCCTTATTTCACAAGACTTATAATTTCTTTGTTATGCTTTTATCATACACATCCAGGCTGAGGTGGAAGCCTTGAATGTATTTCTCAAAACATGATTATATTCAGAAATTCACTATATGACTCCAGAACTCTGGACTTTTGTTTGAACCCATTAATTTAATCACTTCTCTATCTCACTTTGTTTAGTCTTGCAAAGAGCCACTCCAACCTGAGCAGCCCCATTCACAGTCACAGTCCTGGCCAGTTTTAGAGAGCAGCACTGATCTGTCTCAGGTATTAATCCAGAAACATGATCCTCATCTCATCTGAGCGCCTTCAGCTGACAGAGAGGACCTGAACACAGCATCACATCACAGCAACACCCCAACACTTCCCCTCCCAGCGCTTCAGGCACTCGCATTCCTGGACACTGCTGCAAAATGAGACCGTGGTCCAGCTCCTTTCCAGAGTGCCACCACATCCTTGCTGTCTGCAGAAGGCTGCCTGGACAGCTCCCCCAGCAGCAGAGAGAGCCCTCAGCACAGGGAGCTGGCAGGGGAGGGTGTGAGATGGCACCAGAGCCATGGCGGGCACACGAGCCACACGTGAGTGCCAGGAGAATGGAAACCCTCCCAGCACAGCTGAACCTTGTGGCTGGGACCTCACACAGCTTCCTCAACAAGGGCACTGTGGTCAGGCAGGAAAGGCCATTAATGAGAATAACCAAACAAGAACTCTCACAGGTCCAAGATAGAGAGGTGAGCAGCAGCAGGAGAGGTGTGAAGGACCTTGGATTAGTGCACAAGGAAAACAAACTGACAAAAACCTGACTAGCTTTTTTTGGTTTTTTTTTTTCCCCCAGCATTAAAACTCAAAATACAAATAACATTGGTTTCTTCCAGAGAAAGTGTGTCATTTAAGAGCACGGGAGTAATTGCTCCACACCCCTGTCGCTGCACATGGGTGATCTCAGCATCAAAACCCCACAAATACAACACTGGCATTTCCACCAGTGGACCTCCACAGCTGTGATGCTGCACTGGAGGTAAGGCTGAAGGAAACAAGCCGGACTGGGCACCTGTAATAATCTGTGGCACGAAATCTTGAGAAAGCACAGCCCAGGCTGTCCTGTCTGGCAGGGAGAGGCAGGCAGAGTGCTGAGCCCTGGGGAGCAGCACGGTCCTGTGCTCCCTGCAGGCAATCCTGCAGTCGGTCAGGGCTGCCTGCATCCAGGGGAAGGTCAGTGGTGGCCACGGAAGCCCTTTAGAGGAGAGGAGGAACGACGAGTGAAAGGAGCTGGGGAGAAGCTGGGGGAGGGGAGGGCGGACACATAAAGGAGCAAGGCTGGACTGTGCAAGGTAGTGAATGGGAAGGGCAGACCTGGGACTGTGGGCTGATCCTTGCTCACTGCGTGAGGATATTTGGTGCCTGCCTTGCCCTGCTGCCTGATCCTCCCAGGAAGATGCTGGAAGGCACCGTGCACCCTGCCCGGAGCAGCCCTTCAGCCCGGGCGGAAACCCCGCCGGGGTAAATAAACCTTCAATGTGCAAAGCATCACAGCCGGTGAAACCGGGATGCCAGGGACTGTGCTTTGCCTCGGGAATCCGCATCCCTGACTGGTCCCTAGCCTCTCCCTTGTGGAAATGGTCTTGGCCCCATCTCTTGCTCTCACCCCGACGCCCTTCTTTTCTTCTCCGCAAGTTTCCTCACCCGCACATGCATGGGCAGCGCTGCTGCCGAGGGACACACACACGCACACACCCCCAGAGAGCGCATTTCCCAGTTAAGCCATCGGTCCAAATTCTCCCCTTTCCCAAGCCAGGCAGGATCCGAGCGGAAAACAAATGTTGTCACGGCCTACCTTGCGAGGCGGCCGGGTCTGAGGCGCGGGGGCAGCGGGGCTGCGCGTGTGAATCAGCAGAGGAGCCCCTGTGCCAGGGATGCATGCTGAGGCTCGGCACCGCTGCTCTGCTCCTCCAGCTGCTGCGTTGCTATGCGATCACATCCCGCCAGCAGCACCTCGCCGAGCTCCAAAGGGACACCCTTGATCGGCAAAACACGGCGGGCTCGTCCTCGCTGCCCGCCCAGTGCCCGCCCGGCCCTTGGCAGAGCGCGGCCGCGATCGATCCGGAGCAGCGGAGGGAGAAGAGTGGGGATGCAAAGATGGGCACGCACGGGGGGAGGAGACAAAATACACATGGAAAGGGGGAAAGGAAAGGGAGGAGGGGAGATGCACAACACACAGAAAGCGCCGCGGTCTGACCTCTGGGGACCTGCACGGGCTGCTGGGCTCAGCCACGCTTCCCACCGCTCGCCGACATCTCCCACCGCCTCTCGGGGCTCGCGTCTCTCATTTTAGGTTAGATATGGCCACGCGTGTGCTGGAAAATGCCAGACACATTCGCCTCCTTCCTTAACCACAATTTGGGTATCTGACACAAGATTTTATAATTTAAGAACAGCCTGTTTTAAAAATAAACCTATTTTAGCTTTATTATTCAATTTCATATGTGCTTCCTATTCTTCTTAAAAAATAAAAATAAGTAAGGAGGCAATTCTCCAGGCTGGGGAGGTCTTTTAAATGTCAGGGTATCTTGTCTCAGCTCACAAGAAACAGAAGGATTTGAGCTCCTAGTTTGGATGAAGACACAAGCAGATAGAGCTGGGATTTTGGCCCATAGACAAGTTTACAGTTCTTCAGGTCATTCCACACCAGGATTTGAAACTGCTCAAGCCACCAAGTGATGTTATTTTCACACAACACAAAAAGAAACAGAATTAAATTACTTGGTGAGAAAGAGGATTCAAATGTAATTCCAGCTCTGTTTTAAGCTGTTCTGGACTGTCTCAGCCTCTCCATGGGAAAATCAAAAGTCAGAAAATACAATCTTCCTGGTCCTTGTACGAGCAATCTTTAATGAGTCTTAGCCCTTTTTACCCCAGAGCTGACAGACTAAAGATGTTATTTTTCTGCTCACACAGTTGTTATCCAGAAATAGCGGTGCTGTTTGCAGATATTTCCCATTTCTAAACATTTGTTCCCCATCTCAGGTGTATTCCAAAATGCAGGTTCACTCGGGCCCAGCAATGTAAGAGCTTCACAACTCCACTATATTCCTGAAAAACCACTCCTGGTCAAGCCAGCCTTGGAAATAACTGGCAAAGTCTCTGCAGCATCACAGGGCTTTCTGTGGGTTTAAGGACAACAGCCAGGAGATGGTGCTGCACAGAGGGACCGTGCCCAGCCCACCCCAGGGCTGTGCCCAGCAGGGTGGGGAGCCCACAACCACCTTCCAGCCACTTTTGGGCACCTTACAGAGCAAAACTTTAATCCCACACCACAGGGATGCAAATGGACCTTTTCTAGGTCACCAATTTAAACATGGAGAAGGTTTAAAATTCAAAATATAGTTGATCATGTGTAAAATATGTTTGAGAGAGTCCTCAAGAACCCAATGAGCTCTCTGTGATAGCAGCAGCTAGAACCTGCAGCAGGTGGATGGCTGACCCTAAGGAAGTTCTCCCTTCATCCTAGATGGGTGCACCAGGAGTCAGGAGCAGAGCACAGTGAGGCACAGAAAACTCCTGTAACTACACTGAAAGGAGATTTTAAAATAGCAACCTCCTTATCTCATTGGTTCCAAAAGGAGCAACACTGAATACTTGGAGTACCAACCCAAGAATACTTATTCACTCCACACCTTCTGCTCTTAAAAGCTTCAATAGCTCCTGCTTCCACAACAGCTGTATTGATGCAATAAAATCCCTCCTGGAAAGCTGTATTTAGACCAAAAAACCCAGATATGGATGAGAAGACAAAAATGAGCAGAGACTCTGCTGGGCTATTTTTGTGCATGCACACAAATAAGAAATCTTGGGTTAAATAAGGAGAGTGAGGGGGGGAAACCAGCAGAGTCTGGAAGGGCTGTCCAGGCCAGAGACACCATTTTCCAGGGACGTGACCAAATCCGATGGCAGCATGTGTCTGTCACCAGCAGCAGCTGTAAGGGACATGACAACATGGACAAACATAATAAAGCCAATTTACACAGGCACACAAGACAGACATCAGCACAGAGATATGAACAGATAGCATGAACCACAAAAACAAGGTGCTTTCCTGTATAAGCATACTAAATTATTGATTGTTTAAATGCAGTAGGGAAAAAAAAAATCTCTTGTGTCAGTTTAGCTTAAATTATGAGGCAAACTAGAATCTCTGCTGGGAGAGTTTCTTCCAGGGCTGGGAACATCTTCCCAAGTCCTCCAATACTTTCTGTTTTAAGGATATAATTAGGGCAAGGAGAGGAGGAATTCAGAACTCAAGGGGAAACAGGGAGACCAACTCAGATGTGTCATAATCACAGTTTTCACACAAGCACTACAACTTTTTTGAGTGTATGGGAAGGTTTCTGAGATGAGAGGCTAAATTTGGTGTACTTTGAGTTCTGAAGAGAGCTTAAGCCAAAAAAAATCTCCCAAGGAGCTCCAAGAGCTGAGCTTCCAGAAGATATATTGGTACTTTATGTATTTCCCTAATGAAACATTTCAGACATTTTCTGCTTTATGAAACAGCAAATATGTACCTTGTTAGGAAAACTAGTAGTGTCCATCCTCCCAGTAGGGATATCTCAATATGCACAGTGGTAAATACAGTCTACAATCATACAATAGGTAAAAATTGGGACAAGTTTTATAAGGCTTGAACATGAAATTGACATTTATAGAGAGACGCACACAGAGACAGTATTTTTAGTTTGAAAATTTTAACAGCTAGAAATAAGGGCTGTGTTTGCTTTCAGCCTAATTCTGTATTACATTCTCCATATAAAAATCCATTATTATTAATCACTTGTAAGCTGGAATATCCATAGCACTAATTATTCTTGCATTAATAACCAAATAAAAACATCACCTAAAATTCTGGCATTCATATTTTCAATGAAAACTTCAGGGTTCAATATAATTAAAGGCTATTACTTTTATGTTTTTCTTCCCCTAAGTTCCCACCAATTAACTTAATCTTCTAAAACAGTCCTTGTCACAGGGAATTGGTTCCCAAAATGTGCTCCTTTGAAGCATCACATCTCCTGAAAAAGAAAGTTCTTCTGTCTAGTACGGAAGAGAAGTTATTGTTACCATCCTTTGGAAACTTTGGTACATTCTTTCCCATTCAGAGTAAAGCTCAAATTTATCCATTTATCCCAATTAAAGTGTTTTAGAGAAAGATGTTTTAGCCAGGAACAGAATGTCGACTTATCCTTGTTAAAAGGAGAATACAGGCAGACACCAAGAAGAGCACTTTCCCTAGAGCCCTACACCCACAGTCCTGGTGGATCCATCTGCTGAAGAAGAGTTTAGTGAGAGGCTTGTGAGCCAGGACAGGGTCCCTTATGGCTTGAAGAAATCCAATTTCTTGCCAAGAGCCTGCAAATCCCTGTTTTCCTGAGACACAGGATTCCCTTACCTGAGTCTCCTCCTAATTAAAGGACCAGAGAGCACTGTGTTTTCTCACAGCTGCTCACAACCAAACAGCTGTAGCTGTTTTGGTTCAGGATCATTGATCTCAGTGGTTGTGCTGTTCCTACCTGGGAAGGGAAGCCAGAGGAACAGGTCTTGCACAAAGGGTCAGACCTGCCCATCAATTCCAGTACATTAGACAGGCCAGCAGGGCTGGGAGCAAACCACAAAGAGCCTCCCTTTAACAAGGGGGAACAAAACTAGAATTAGGGCCCTAAGAAAATAATTTAGCTAACTGGATATTGTAACATCCAGGGGGGCTTTTTTACTTGTTTTGTTTAAATAACCAATATAAAATAACTGTACCTCTTTTGCTGGCATCAATAAGCACAAAAACCTTCCCAGAGCAGATTCTACCCTGCTGAAAGCATTTATAGAAACAGCAGGGTACTTTCTAAACACATGGTACCTGGGGTGGGAGAGAAGAATGGGCAGAGAACTGATGCAAGCCATGCACCCAGAAACAGAATTAATCCCCCTTTTAATTTGTTCCCACACAGGCCCTGAAACAATCCCTCTAAATGAGAAATAGAGACTATAAGGAAGGAAATATTTTCAAAGCAGTACCAAAAGAAAGAGGAGTGGGTATCAAAAAAGTGTCAAAGAATTTGGGGGAGGAGATAGGAAAAGAAAAAAGACAGGAGAAAATGGTAGAAAAGAAAGAAAAAGCATGCAGGAGCAGAAGGTAAGGCAGACAAGGCAGATTTGAGGGGCTGTTTTTGTTCTTTGCTGTCAGCATGTTTACAATGTGCTTTCCATCCCCCTCCTTATTTACTGGGCACTCAAAGGAGCAGGAAAGCAATCCCACAGGAGCTGCTGAAGATTCACTTGGACACAGAACAGAGGTGCCCTAAGAGAAAGGAAACTGCTTAGTGATCCGTGCACAACAAACTATGATGGGGATGTTACAGGCCCAGAGACTTGAGAGAGAGGGCTGGGAGGAAACCTGCAGAGAGCAGCCTCTTCCTACAGAGATCACACTGGCAGCACAGACACTTGGAACAGAGCAAGTCAGGCTGCACGGCAATACAGCTGCACATAAAAATATATGTTATATTAAATAACATAAGCTTAACATGTTAAATAAGCTTCACAGCAGAAGCTTATCCCTGAATTCTTGAAAGGAAGAGCCCAAAGGATTTGGACAGAGTAAAATTTTTAAAGGTATCTGTTGCAATTTGCAGCCTAAACCCAGTGCTTGAAGCTCAGGAGCTCAGCTACGTTACAGTGACTGAAATATCCCATGACTGAGGCTGTGCTGGAACAGCCCATCCTGTGTCACGTTTCTGGCAGGTACCACAGCTTGCCTGATGCATGTTCACTCATTAAAAACTGCAGAATGGGATCACGCCTCAGCCTACAGATTTCTAAACACTGTCAAGGTTAAAATGATATTTAGAGCCTGTGTAGGTACCTGCAGCTTGGTTCGGTTTTTTTTTTTTATTTATTTTTTTAAATTTTTTTTAAGATCAACTGTTTTGGTTTCCACATTTGTGCAAGAGTGAGCCTGGCGATTAAAGCCTTTATTAAAAAAAAAATCTCACCCTCTGTTATGCAGACTTTTTACTCCTACGAGACAGGAAGCTGAGAGGCAGAGAGGCATCCTCACAAGGTACACACACACCTTGCAGGATGTTATTTATGTACTTCAGCACCTCCCTTCCCA